AAAAAGGTGCAGCCACTTTGGAAAACAGTTTGGCAATTCTTAAAAAGGTTAACCAGTTACCATAGGAGCCAACAATTGTTACTCAAGTAGAAATGACATTATTCATGTTTTCCATTAAGTTAAAACAACCTAAACGTCTATTGAATGATAAATACATAAATAAAATGTGGTCCATTCATACAACAGAACATCATTTGTCAGTAAAAGGAGTGGTTGCTAGGGACTGGGAGAAAAGGAGAAGGGAGAGTGACAGGGTTTCCCCCACCCTGATATATTCAGTGACTTTCTGTCATCTCCTGGGGGGTGGGGGAGGGCAGGGGCACATTATTTCTGACTCACCCTTACCTGGAATGCGAAGCCCTTTGGGTGTTCCCATTTATGAGATCTGCTGTTAGACTCCCCACCCTGGATGAGTCTGGTATTTGACTACTGTCTTCTTCACCCTAAGACATCAAGTGTGAAGCGCAAAGTTGTGTGATCAGAAAAAGTAGGCTTGGTGCTTAACTCATCTCCCTAGGTCCCACTTTCTCTTCAGTTTTGACCTGGAGATACTTTTTCTACCATGTCAGCTTTTTGATGCTTTTAAGAAGACATTATATATATATATATATATATATATATATATTTTCCAACACATTAGTTATTTTTACCTGATGAATTGGTTCAAATGAACAAGCCTGGTATATTCCTGGATATCAGTGATTTTAAATCTCTTAATCGTTTAAAATTCATGGCATTAACATTAAGGAGGCATGAGGCTGCCTGGTCGTGCTGCTCCACTTCTCTGATCCATTCTCCCACCTTCTGTAAGACCCTCACACCTGCCCCTCCCCAACCCCCTTCTTCAGACCTCTTTTCAAATTATGTTTGGTGAGAGAGACATTGGTTGCAACGCTTGCATTGCCATCACTCTATCTTCCTCATTGTGTGTTATTTTTACTATTACACTTATACTAGTAATTACCACCTACAATAGTAGGTTTTTATTTGTTGATGAGTTCAGTGTTGGTCTTCTATCAGGAATGTAATCTAAGAGCAGGGATTTGCCTATTTTGTTCACTGATGATCCCCAATGCTTAAAGACTACTGAGGAAAACAATAAATACATAATACATACTTAATTTTTGGAACATATTGTTGTACAGCTTAGATCAACTATCTGTTTTTGGAAAATCTGCCTACTGCCAGAATGTTAGTGGGCTTCCATTAACATCATTGTGAGTGAAAATTTATGTCCCAAGTTCTATGTAGATGTAACTATTATTACCATAAAAAACGTTTGACATGCTTCTCTTTCTGTAAGAACTACATTGGCAATAGTGATGTACCGTGGGGAGATTTCTGTTTGTACAGGGTCTCATTATTATTTCTATTTCAGATTACTGTTTCAGAAAATACTATTGCCTTTATGCGTAACTGAGGATCAAATATTTATGCCTCATGTCAAGTTAGTTTGCATGGATAGCCAGTGCTATAACAATGTCACAGCGCATGATGCCATGAAGGTGATTGTGGAATCTGTGTTGATGATGCCTGGGTGACCTTGAACAGGCCATGTCCCCTGGAAGACTGTCTCCCTAACAGAACATTTGAGATAATGATTTAGACATTATATTGAGTTGAATATTAAGGTAGGTTGAAATCGATGACTCCAATTGTGTGACACCTCCCTGTATCCACACCATTTACGTTGTCCACGTCTTTTCTACCTACTTTGCTTTGGCCAATGGGACAGGAACATACTGTCACAAGCAGAGCCATGAAAATGTGCTGTGTGTTTCCACTTCTGTTCTCTTGGGCCCCACCTCTGCCATGAGAACATGCACAGGCTAGCCTGCTGGAAGGGTGTGAGGGCCACGCAGCCAAGCACCAGACCATCCCAGTGGAGGCCAGCCTAGACCAGCCAGACCCTAATGAGCCTGTCAGGGACCACAGATGGCCGAGTGAACCCAGCTGAGGTTCTCCAAGTCCAGTCCCAGTCCAGGACCATTCAAACAACCTGTGGCCTGGGGAAGAATAAGAAATAAATGGTGGCTGTTTTAGGTCAATAAGGATTAGTTTGTAATGCCACAACGGTGAACTGATTGTGCAAGCAGAAAACTGCCTGTGGATAATTCCTGGCTCTTGGATAAAAATCCAAGCTTCGGGGCAGGGCTAGTGGGAGTCCTTATTCATACTGGTGCTCACTGTCAAACAATATAAGACCACCAGTTGCTTTCAGTCATAAGAGCCATCTCTGTTAGTAATTAAAAATGTCCAGCCAAGTGTATTAATAAAAATCCGAAACTTCATTAAAGATAAAAGCTTCTCCCTTCTCCTTGCTGAAAGCTGTGTTAGGACTTGAGGCCTGTGGTTGCTCCGCCTCCTGCTTCCTCCGCTCAGCAGGAGGCTGAGGGAAGAACAAAGACGCAGGTGGTAGGTGCAGTTGCAATCTCACCCCAGTGCTCCTTGGCCCTAGCATCTTTTCAAATCCGCTCACTTGCTCTTGGGATCCTCTGTGTGCTCCCTATCTCTTCTTCCGCCAGGAATTCCCCCATACAATCCCCATAATGTGTGCAATGCCTCCTAGTTTTAAAAATACATTTTCATATATAACATATGCAGAAAAGTAGTCAAGACATAGTGTAAGCCTGTGACACATTTTCACAAGGGAACACAGCGTCTGGCCACCCAGCAGACCAAGAATTGGAACACAGTGAGGGTCCCAGGATCCCCTTCTTCTCCTCCTCTCTGTTACTACCCATCCTCGTTTCCTTTCCTAACTTCTAACCCCACAGATAAACAAATTTTCTTTCATAAACCTGGTTGGCCTTTTCAAGGACAGAGTGCCCTCTCCTAGCTCTCTGCTAATCAGTTAACCCCACAATATGCAAACAAAATTCGCTGTTCCCAGGCTGATAAATCTTATCGTTGCCTTTGTTTCTTCACTCAGTCCAACACCTGTCTACTTATATGTGAACAGATAAGTATGCAAAGTCACTGAGCAAAGGAATACCTCTGAGTTGTTCTTTGATAAATAATGACTCCCAGATAGCTTAAGAAATGAGATAACATATTAAATGTGGTGGTAAAGGGCTCTGAAATATGATTACTTTTTTAACCATAAAGATGGATAATTCCTTTTTTTTTTCCCAATTGGGGAGTTGGGGGAGGGGAACAGTGTTGGGGAATTGGGGAGAGGGACCAGCCAAGTTGTTGTTCTTCAATCTTAGTTGTGGAGAGTGCCAGTCGCCATCTGGCTGCCCGTCGGCAGCTCATGGCCTCTAAGCTCAAGGTGCTGTGTTACAATCTTAGTTGTGGGTGGATATAGCCATCCCATGTGGGAGTCGAACCAGCAGCCTTGTTGTTAAGAGCACATGCTCTATCCACTGAGCCACCCGGGCAGCAGCTCAGCTCAAGGTGCTGGCCTCAGTCTTATTTGGGGGTGGGCGTAGCCCACCATTGAACAGGCAGTGTTGCTATTAGGAGCATGTGCTCTCACCAGCTGAGCCACCCTGTCACCTGTTGGCAGCTCAGTGGCAGCTCAGCTCGGGTGCAGCAACACTGGCTCATGTGGGAATCGAACCGGCGGCCCTGTTGCTAAGACCTCAGGTTCTTAAGCTAACTCTTAACCAACTGAGCTACTCGGCTGGGCCCGAGACAGATAGTTCTTTTTTTCTTTTTTTAAGATTTTATTGGGGAATTGGGGGAGGGAACAGCATTGGGAAATTGGGGCATGGAAACAGACAAGTTGCTGTCGTTTTGTTCTTCAGTCTAGTTGTGGAGGACATCGCCTCACTTGCCCATTTTTATTCTGATCATTACGCTCTTCCCGGCTGAGGCAGATAGGTTGCCAGCCGTTGGACGGCCACTCACGGCAGATCATGGCAGCTCACACTGGCTGCCGGCTGCTCATGCTGGCTGCTAGCCACTCATAGTAGCTTATGGCAGCCCACTGCAGCCCCACTGCAGCCTACACCCTCGCCGGAGACTCATGGCAGCCCAGCTCCAGGTTGAGCTGTTTTTCACCATCTTAGCTGTAGAGGGCGCAGCATTACTGGCCCATATGGGATTCGAACTGGTGGCCCTGCTGCTCAGAGCTCACACTCCCAAGCCAACTCTTAACCAACAAGCCACTCAGCTGGCCCCGGGTAATTCTTAATGAATCTAGGGAAACATCATTCTTATGTTTCTTTAAAATTTCCAAGCATTTAGGGAAATTTTATTCATTTCTTATGTAAAACATGAGATCAACAAAATACCCTCTTATTATTTCTACTTGTATCAGAAATCATGGTAAGCATGAATTGTTCAATCCCTTTTAAATATTATAACCAGTTACATATAAATGGATCTTGTTTAACAATAATCTCAGTTTCAACATTTTTTAGGGTTTTGCTGGAATGAGAGGAATAAAAAGTGATTCAAAGCAGGACATCCTCATTTGTTCAGATATTGTTGGATTCAGAATTGTACCTTACATTAAGGAAGCTGTAGTGGTAAACCAAAGAAAATTGGGATGGTTTAGTGAACAAGTGAGTAAGTCTCACAGTGCTATCAATTTTTTTTCTTCTGTTCTTCACTGCCTGGGGGGATTTTTCTGCAAATTCTATTTTTATTGGGGCACTACCAAGAGAAGAAAAAATATATTACCATTGGCCTTTTACTGCTTGCACCAGTTTGCATGCTTCAAACTTTATCTTTCTTTGGCGATGTATCCATTTTTTTACACCCCTCAAAATTTCTAAAATTTCTCTTCTGTCAAGTCCCCAAATAGATGTACTTGGAAATCCCCAAAGAAAAGCAACAGAGGCAAAAATTATTCTCCAAATCAGTTTATACATTTCATTAAAATCAACTCTTTGAAATACACATAAACATAGAACAGACCATGCTACCTCTATTATGTACATAAAATCTTTTTTTAAAAAACTTTCTTATCAATACGAAAGTTTTAACATTTAATGTATTTTTAAGAATGATAATCTAAGCTTTCTCATGTCCTATTCAAATAAGTAATCTTACTTATTAGCATTGCTTTCCCTGAAATAAATATTCCCAGAGCTTTGGGGTACATCTGATATGTGAATCACAAATTTTTGTCCATCTTCTAGGGTGACAAGGGTTTCCTGTCCCACAGGAAGGTTGAGTTTGATGGTGCTTTCTGTGGCCTTGTTTTCCAGCGATACCTGGATGAGCTGCAAGGGGGAAATGTTGAAAAGCAAAAGATAAAAGGAAAAAGTTACACTCTTCCCTGCTGCAGGACCCACCGTTTGGTAGAATTATTCTACCATGCCCTCGCCCTCACCTTGGGACCTAAACGGGAAGCTCGTGCATTTATTCCTAATTTCTCAGAGGAATGCTCAGGGTCTGGTGGGCTTCACGGAAGGGATCTCTCAGTCCTGGGCGGGTGCAAGAGAAAGAGGCCAAGGGAGGTAGGAGCAGGTGGGTTCTCTTTAAGACAGGAGCAGGGCCTGTAGTTGTTTGTGAGGCACTGACTGCAAAAAACAATGCTCTCCCATTGAAGACATGGGAGAGCCCGGCTCAGCAGTGAAAATCAAGAGGGAGCCTGTGCAATATCCACGGGTCTCTGAGGGCTGTAGCGCTTATCGCTGTGGCCGCCTTCCAGATGGTACCAATCCTGCATTCTTGTCTGTTCTGAGCTGATGCAGTTGGCTCCAGCTCTCACACAGACCCTCCCTCTACCATCCATCAAATACACCAGTAGATAAGGAGGGAAAATCTGTGAAAACAATCATTGATTAACTTGACACTCTGTTGGATAGTAACAGATTTGAGGAATTCACAGATTCTGGGGTTTGTGGAAATGCCAGCTCTCAGATAAGTCATCTGACTTGCCCATGCAAATGTTCCTATCAGAGAGACAAGGGTCATATGCCACCTTTCCCTTACCTCTGAGGGTACTCAGAAGATCGGCAAATCCTTGTATGTGACTACTTTCAAAAACCAATAGAGATATATTGGGTTGTCGGGAAAGTCATCACGTATTTCTGTTTTCCAATGCAAAAATGCGTCACAACTTTCCCAGCGACCCAATATTTTCTTGGTCTGATTCCATCAATAAACCCCCCCAAAGCTAATATATTTTGACAAAGATGTGCACAAGACAACCTCAAATGCAAAGCTAATGGAAGTACATTTCTCACCCTTCCTCTCTAAATTCCATAATAACCATCACCACCCAATGAAAAGATGTTTTTCTTCTCTCTCTCTCTCAAAAACAAAAATTGTCTTCACCTTTACCCTATAGTTGATGAGTCACATATTATTATTTTTAATAGTTTTGCTATGCTTTAATCCTTGAGTATGTGATGGAACATGAAAGCTGTGTAGCGTATTTTTAAAAAGAGGGTTCTTTATTTAATATCAGTATAATTTTTGCTATTGTCTTAAACATGCCTTGGTATCTTACTTTTTTTGAACGTTGCTAGACTGTAGAAGAGCGACAGATGGGTATGGCCGTCGGAATGCTGACTTCAATTCTTACCGTAGGTGCAAGGCAGTGATGAATTGATCAGAGAGTGAGGCTTACACAGACGTGCAGTTGAATGGGGAGTGAGGGGGTTCATTCGAGGCAGGTGAGTGCACATGGGGCACAGGGCGTCCTTTTCTGTTGATGATGAGTGCAATGCTGAATAATGAGTGCAATGAAATTTAGATGAGCGTAACTTTTTGGTGTTAGATTGCTTAAGTCATTATAGTGAATTCAGCAAGCATTCACCAACAGAAGCAGGTTTAATTAATCTCTAATGCATATTACCTTGGATTATATGACATTCGTCTGCTTGTATTGCCTTATTTGGTAGTTCAATTAAGTATTTAATATCTTCTCTACTGTTTCCACCAATTAAATATACAGTCATACATCACTTAACTACAGGGATATGTTCTGAGGAATGCACTGTTAGGTGATTTTGTCATTATGCGAATGTCACAGAGTGCACTCACACAAACCTGGGTGGCCTAGCCTACTGCACACCTAGGCTGTGTGGTGTAGCCTACTGTTCCTGGGCTACGAGCCTGTACAGCATGTTACTGTACAAAACAACATGAGATGAAATCAAGCACAAGAGAAAATGATGCAATCAAGAGACATGTAAACCCAAGATGTATGAGGCTGCTGCAGGTGTAACATGGCATATCGTTTTACAGCAAACGCTTTTCATAAGTAGAAAGAATATACTCTAAAATAATGATAAAAAGTATAGTAAATGCATAAACTAGTAATATAGTCATTTATTATCAAGTATTATGTACTGTACATAACGTATGTGCTAGATTTTCATACGACTGGCAGTAGGTTTGTTTACACCAGTGTCACCACAAACATGTGAGTAATGCATTGGGCTATGATGTTGTAAGGGCTACAACATCACTAGGCAATAGGAATTTTTCAACTCCCTTATAATCTTATGGGACCACTGTCATATATGTATGCGGTCCATCATTGACCAAAATGTCATTGTTTGGTGCATGACTGTGTAGGTGAAACCCCATTACAATGAACTCCAGAGTTGCTAGGGCATTGGGTAGACAGTACTGTGGAAAGGTGCTCAGATTAGGAGGTTTTGTTGGAGAAATAATAACAATGACTAGTGGTTATGGGTATTTACTGATGTTCTAAGAACTTTATTTTCTAAGAATGGTGATTAACTTACTTAAATCTCATAATGGCCCTATGGAATTAGATATTATTAGTCCTGTTTTGTAGATAAGGAGACCTAGAACCAGATAAGTTAAGCAACTTGCCCAAGCTTCTCAGCTAATAAGTATAAGATGTGGAATTTGAACCCAGGAAGTTATGTACCAGAATTGCCCACTTATTTCCCCAAATCATCAGACTTGAAGATATTTTTCATTTACTCTCAACTCACTGCTTTTGGAATTAAAGCACATGGAAGTACCTTTGGGGAGAGAGAAGGTACTAGAAAGGAAAGTCTCAGAAGGAGATCTACGCAGGTTTGAATCCCTGCTGTGCCAATTATTAGGGAGGTGACCTTGGGAACATTACTTAACCCCTCATGAGCCTCAGTTATGCTTTCTTTGAAATGGGAGCAATGATAACACCATCTTGTTGGGTTGCTGAAATGATGCATTTAAATGCCCAGCACTGGAAGCCTGTCAGTGTCTGTTCTCCATCCACTTCCAACTGTGGCCCAAGAGGGAAAAGATTACTCCCAATTACCTTGGTAACCAAGGGGCATGTCAAATCATTTACCACCCTAGCTCTCACCCCAGCCAATGAGCAGAGAGATCTGCACACTTGGAGCTGAATGTCCGGCACAAATGCTTGTCCTACTAGGGCTGCACAGAATGTTCCAGAGTGCACTCAGCTGAGCTCTCCACTGGCCAGCCTTTGCAGGGCCCTGTTACCAGGACGAGGTATATTCTCCAGAGGATCAGGAAGCAGGGAGAGACAGTCTCCTGGATCCTGGACACAGCCCGGCCACTGGTCCCAATCTGCAGACCTAACAGAGCCTTCTCTCAGCCAACAACCTGGAAGTACCAGCTGGAGAGTGGTGCCTTACCTGCCCCCAGCTGTTCCTCTTCTAAGGAGGCCCAGCCCCCACCAGCCATTGGGTCCCTGATTTGGGGTCAGCATTTCACTATTTCAGGCCTCAATGGTCACATCTGCTTCACATACACACTCACAGAGGAGGTGAGTTTCTTATTTACAGACACATGTCTGAATCTACGCCAAGGTCATTGAAGGCAGCTGGATATACAAACCTACTATTGCAAAGTAAGACCAAACACAGAGCATTTGTGAACCCGGGACATGCATTTCCTTTGATCCTGCCCATGTTATTTTTGTCCAGCACGGTGTCTTTTTGGAGTAGCACTCGATAGCAGTTTGTGCAGGTTCTCTGCACCCTGGAGAACTTGGAATGAGGGTTTGTTCAGGAAGGGGAGGTCCCTGGAAGGTTCTGGTTATTTTGAGGGTTGTAGGGCATGAATGGTTTCAGGCTGTGACTCAACCCATGGCCATGGCCATTATTAACTCAGGTCAAGAGCCCCGCCCCTTCATTTAATGGTTTTCTACCAAGCACAACTCATCCACTCAAAGGGGAACTCAGGCGTACAAAAGAAACACCATATAAAGTGGGAAACTTCCAGACACAGGTATAGAAGTTTTAGAAATTAGTACCGCCTCAAGTGTCAAGATTTTTTTTTTTTTTTAAACCAGCGACTCCTGGCCTCAGCTCTGGCGTTTCAGTTGCTTCCTGGCTCCTCTTCCTGGCCTGCAAGGCCCCATCTCTGACCCCTCCAACCCATGGGGTGTGGACCACCTTCCTCTGAGCTCGTGTTGTAGGAGAAGAATGGACTTGAGATCAGGCAGCCCAGGGCTCCAATCTCTGCTCCACTATTTTATTTTATTTTTTTTTAAGATTTTTTTATTGGGGAATTGGGGGCATGGGAACAGTGCTGGGGAATTGGGGGAAGGGGAACGGACATGTTGCTGTCGTTTTTTGTTCTTCAGTCTAGTTGTGGAAGACGTTGCTTCACTGGCCCATGTTGGCACCATCATTGCGCTCTTCCCGGGTGAGGCAGATCAGTCGCTGGCTTCTGGATGGCCGCTCACTGTGGCTGCTGGCCGCTCACGCTGGCTACTGGCTACACACGGTAGCCCATGGCAACCCACTGCAGCAGAGGCTACAGCCTACACTGTCGCCGGTGACTCACGGCAGCCCAGATCCAGGTTGAGCTGTTGTTCAGCATCTTAGCTGCAGAGGGCCGTGTCACTGGCCCTCATAGGTGGGATCCGAACCGGGGCCCTCTGGCGTCCCAAGCCAGTTCTTAACCATCGCGCCACTCGGCCAGCCCATGTTCCACTATTTACTTGCTGTGTGACTTTGTGCAAGTCACTTAGCTTCTCTGAACCTCAGTTTTCTTATCCATGGTTTGAAAATGATCAGCATAGATACTGTGTAGACTTCTATGGCTTCGCAATAATATGTATATATAAAGGGTATAGAGTCGGTGATGGATACAGAGAAATTCTTAATTTTATATCTTTCAAAGTGTACCCCAATTCCACCTTTTCAAAATCCTTTCTATTCAGACTATTCAATGTCTCCCTTCTTTGAATGCCAGAGGCCTTTTCAGTGCATAACACTCAGTGTAGTGGCTAGTGGTAATCTATTGTTCAATTAGCCTAAGCACGTCCAGGAGGCTCTGGGAAGGCCAGAACAAGGCCATCCACATATTCTGCTCCTCTAATCATGCCAGGCTCATATCAATGCACCCCAAACCTGAGCTGACTGGTAGCCAGCAGATAGGCTATTAGGCTATTATAATCCCTCCTGGCAAAATGATCGAAAGCAGATGACTCTAGAATCCTGTATTGTTGTTTGGATAATGGGGTCTTTATGGGTTTCCTAATCACCTGGTAGTTCTTATTGACCTTGAAAAAACTGTGTGGAAGCTGAGGCCCCAGTGTCTGTACCTTATTGCCTGTGGTAGTGTCCACCAGGAAGCCCAGGACTCTGAGAACCACACTGCTCACACCCATGGCACAGAGGCTCTGGCTCGCATACTGTAGCATCACCCGAGGTGGGTCCACACTCAGGCTTCCATACTCCTGAAATGGTGGAGACTCTGGACAGTGGAAAGCTGCCTGGTCTGGCTGGACAAGAGACTGGTCATCTGGTAGCATTGCCTTGAGATTTCCCACGTCGTCTTCCTCCTCTCCCTCTTCTATGCATGACTGTACTATATGAATAACATATTCCAAAAGCAGCAAATGAAACAGATGCCAGGAACCTACATTGAAATAATGAATGAATAATTAGATAGATGAATAAATAGATCACTGTGAAATTAACAACCGTTCTGGGATTTTAAACACTTGTGTATTAAAGCCTCACTCCTATAGATGGCCCTGAGGGGTCTTAGGCAGAGTCCATTCCCCAAGTAGCATTCCATGTCCAGAGAACCCCAGCAAGGCAGTTTTTGGACAGAAAGCACAGAGAGCTAAATAGCCTGAGCCACAAAAGGGAACTTAAAACTTATCTGGTGTAAGATGGGTCGTCAATTGCACCCACCTGACACTAGGAGCTTGCATTTCTGGGGAGCATTATTGTTTGCATTATTACCAGTTTGATACAAGGCACAGGGTTGTAAAATAACTCAAAGGCAAAGAAAGGTGAAGGAAACTCAGGACAGTTTACTGAACCTTTTGGCTCATATCAAAGCCTTTTGCCCACTTCAGATAATTTTTTTTGTCCATTTCAAAGCCCTTTACAATATTCAATATTCTTTGACGGACCTACAGTGAAAGATATTGGCTTGGTGGGATGGCAGGACCTGGTCCAGGATGAGCCTGATCAACAGCTCTTGGCCTCTTCAATCTTGGAAACCATGGCTCATGTGAAGAGGAAAAACTACTGCTGTTAATACTTTGGCTTCATATGGAGGTCCAGAGAAGGTAGATAGGAAAAAGCAACAACTACAGGGCTGATCTCTCCCCGTGATTGCACACGAATCCGCTGTCAGTCACTTTGGTCTGGGGGAGCATTATCATAAAGCAGAATCACTTTGGACTTCTCTAAAGGGGGAGAGCCTCACTATAAACGGTTGTCACCTATAGGGCAGCTTACAGCAGCAACCTTCAAAAGAGCTCCAGGGTGTTTGCAAAACTGAGCTAAAGTGAACTTGGCTTCTCTTCCTTGTTCTGCCTACTGTTGTAAGGGCAGCTGGCAGCTCTCTGGAGCAGGGCCTCTCACCTGATTAACGTGTATGCTTATAAGTGCCAAGACTTTGTCTTTCCACTGCTGTATGGAAAGGTGCCTGGGACTTTGTAGGGACAATAAATATCTGTTGAGATGAATGTTCCTTTCCATGGGGCTGGTGACCTTCCCTTCCTACAACTCTGCTATTCTATTGTACATCTGGTAACAGATGTGACCTTCCCTGACAACGAAAGACCATCTCTTTGACCTGAGAGTTTGCAAAATGTACTACTTCACTCTTTCCACCATCTGCATACATTGGTGACTACAATGATTGTTTTTCCTGCAATTTTTTTTGTTTCGTTTTGTTTTTTGTTTAGCTGAACCATCCTGCCACCTGTTGGCAGCTCAGCAGCAGCTCAGCTTTGGGCCGGGAATCGAACCACTGTTGCTCAGAGTTTGCACTCTTGAGTGAGCTCTTAACCAATTGAGCCACTCAGCTGGCCCTCTGCAAGTTAGATAGGGTGCCCCAAAGAACCTATTTTTTCTCCATCTCAGTGGCCTCCTATGGTGCTTGTCTTAAAACGTCCCAAAGCACACAATTCAAAAACAAAGGGGGGGCTTCCTACACATCCAGCCATGAGGAATGGGAAAGTGAAGCGTGGCCCAACTGTCTGATGGATTCTCATGTTGCCATTAAAGAAAAGGTTATTATGGTTTTGTATGGTTCTCTGTGTCTATGTTGTATTTTACATAAAAAAAGGTTCAAAGACGATTGGATTCTACATAGCAAAATGGAATGGGGCATTAACTTGTGGCAGATGAGTGGAAAAGTCTTATGCTACAATAACATTTTAAAGGTAGAATGCAAGTGTTTGGTATTCTCTGACTTACCAAAACTGTCTCTGTGGCTGAGGGTCATGGCTTTGCTCACAGTGGTGAGAAGAAAATTCCATCTTAGCTGAAAGCTGGAGGCCAATTTGATGAACTCCTCTTTGCTTCTGCTTGGCTGTTACATTTTGTGAGAGAAATAGTGCTGGGATTAATGACACAATGAAGAGAAGCATGTTTTCAAGGCACACATTTATCAGGCACAGACATTTTCCAGTGGCCAAGTGAGGAGGAGGAGGAGGAGGAGGAG